GAGGTTATGTCAGTCCTCTCTAAGTAATTAGTTCACCAAAAAAAAATCCAGTAAAATGCATTTTAGTTTGAATTAAAAGCAACGTGTTCTTTGTAATCGCCCTTATTTGTACTTCGCTTTTATTGTGTAAACCAAAAGGGGAACTTTTAGTAGATGCAAAGTTGTCCAAACTTGGATTGCATGAGATGTCTTCTCACGGACATTTTTAATTTTTTTTTTCCCCTCTGATTTGCATGGGCTGTAGTTTGCGTCTCAATTCTGTGCATGCTTTTTGAGTGGTTTCAATTCTCCTCCAAAACACAACCCTAAAACTGTTTTAAACTTTTTTTTCGAAGAAGGTATGCTGCTTAAAGGCAAAAAAAAATTTTCGCCTCCTTCTGCGATGGGACACTACGTTAATGGCTTGTTCTGCTTTGGTTTGTGAAAAATTTTTAACATTTTTGCTTTAATGCGAGGTGAAGTAAGCAGATGATGAATGAAGTGACCCTCCACTCTGGCATGGAATTTTTTTAGAATTGATGTTGTGCAACTGCTGCTTCAAATAGACAATCGTTAAAACTTAACTTTTAGACAAAATGGGGAAAAAAAAGTTGTTGCGAACAAGGAATGGAGGAATGAAACATGTAGACAAAAGGCGAAATCCGTAGTGCCGATTTAATTTTAACATTTTGTTACATAAAGAGGCGCAAACGAGACTGAGAGATGGGGAAAATTAAAATTGATTTACAAAATACATTTTTAACACTTTTAACCTTATCATTAGGCAGAAGATATTGTTGATCACAAGAATGTGAATGAGCAATGGTTAAAAACACATCTCAGGCAATACTTACAGGTGGAACAACTTGGGACGAAGATAGACCATTTTGCTGTCCAGCATATTCAAAAGTGTCGTCGTCATCTACAAAGCTCTCAATTATACGACGATGAATCTAAAAAGAAAGCATTTATGATTGTAGAAACTTGCATTTACAAAATGATAAGTTTATATATAGAGTGACTAACATTTCCATCCACATTTTTAGTTTCGATTACTTCACGAATGACTGTTCTTTCTTGGCCTTGGGTGTCGACACGTTTCTCCCTTGTGATAGACTTTTTTGTAACTTCTCCAGGACCTAATGTATAAATAGACTTATGGTTTAAATATGTATAACATGTATTTTAGGTTGCTCTACTGAGAGCTACGAACTACGGCATCTTTTAAAGGTTTAGTTTTATGTCAAAATCTAATATTTCAGCTAAATATGAAAGGGTATCATGACAGTCTTACCGGGATTCGAATGTTCCTTTCCTTTCCCATCAATTGGTGGAAACACATTATTTTTGTATCGACCTCGAACATTACCAGGAGGTCGATAATGCGCAACCACAACACACTGCCCGTTACCGGAGGCCTTTCCAAATCCAACCTCTCGAGTAGCGGCCCATACCATCTGGGTAAAATTACCTAGTATAGAAATGTGCAAAAGTGGATTTACCTATGCAAGTATCTTTCACAAACAGAATACGTAAGCATAACAACTCAACAATGATAAGTAAATTTGCGTTCAAATATAAAAAACTCAGAATAGTCTAAATAATGTCTTAATAGCAAATACCTGCAGGGCCAGTAGCAGATTTAAAGTCGTAACTGCGGATATCATTGTACCATTGAGCAGTTAGATCGGCTCCTAGAGATTAATTCACTAAAAGCTTTTACATACCTGAAATGTCGAATTCATCAGAGGTACTTGTTCGTTTGCTGATACTCTCACCGATTTCTCCTTTATTTGATAGTGGACTATTTGTAACATTGTCCTTTTGAAATAGTGTTTCGGCCCATTCCTGTGCTGTTTTATCCAGCGCAACGCTATGCCGCAAAGGCTCAACACCATGCAATTTTCTATATTTATTATGCTCCCTAAGGCACTCATCTAAAAACTCGTCATTATCACTCATCTGGAACTAAGTTCATAAAACTACCACACAGGATATAAATTATAAATACTAGATTTATATAGTAAAACAAGTCTGTACTAAAAATTAAAAACGTAATATTTAGCAATAATTTTTTATACACTGTTTTTGATTAGAAAACAAGTAAATGAGTATCACGTGGCTGATATGTAAAATGCATGGACTTAAGCATAAATGTGGTATCAGTTTCCCATATTGCCGTAATTTGTTGTTATTATTATTATTAGGTAAGACTACGTAAGTACAATTGGTAGAGAAACAGGTGCACCTAAGGTATCCGAGTGGTTCTGAACAGAATTGTTGAAGTTCACTTGCATGGCGTTCAAATTAACCTCGCCCTCTCCTACATGGCAAAGTATAGACTAACATTGCCTGAGGG